GCATCGTTCAGGCCAGAGTTTGGCGGCAAAGAAATGTGTGGTGGACAGGTGAGGGGGAGGACTGCGGAGAATTGCATTTCACAGCAGACACTGTCTTGCTGCACTCAGGCTGCTATAACAGGGTGCCATAGGCCGGGGGCTTAGACATCTGTTTCCTCACGGTTCTAGAGGCTGGGAAGTCTAAGATCCAGGCACACGTTCAGTGTCTGGTGAGGGCCTCCCTCCGGGTTCACAGATGATGCCTCCTGGCCGCCCTCGCATGGGGGAACGGGCAAGGCAGCCCCCAGAGGAGTCCCTCTCCTAAGAGCACTAGTCCCATTCCTGAGCACTCTGCTCTCCAGAAGGCCCCACCTCCTCACGCCATCATGTTGCAGATTAGATTTCAACCTGTGATTTGGGGGTGGCGGTGGGGGGAGACACAGTTCAGTTCCCAGCATACATAAATATAAAGGATTTAAGATCCGTTTTCTTAAATTAGCACAAAAGTGTGCCTAGAAGTGTATAAAGTCTGAATAAATATGGAACACCTTCGTGGAGCAATTTTACTTGAAAATCTGAGGAAAACACGTGATGTTTAAAAATATAGATGAGTTATGTTGGGGAAGACAAAATTTGCACTACATTTTATGGTGAATCACAAAACTTCAAAGAAATCCCTTGCTTGTAGCAGCGCCTTCAGGCTGTGATCCCAGACCCCGGGGCAGGCTGGGGTGGGATGAGTTTACTCTCTCCTGCCACTAAAGTAGTCAATGGCAAAAAAAAAAAAATCCTGAGTAAGTCCCATTTCAGTCAGTTTTCCCTATTTCTAAATATTCTGGCTAAATTTTTCATTTAAAGTAATTTATAAAGACTACTCTTTGCAGTAGAATGGGTGTGGTTTAGAAGGCAATAGTATTCGGTGTGCATGAAAACAAACCTTAACTGAGGTCTTGGTAGCTCTGCACTCCCAGATAGGAACTTAATTGCCATTTTTGATCGTTGTAACTTCAGTATAGAAGCTGTTCCAAGGAAAACTATCCAAATGGCATATTACTTTCCAAAAGCAAAAACCTCATAAATAACAGCTGATGTTAAAATACATTAAGTAATTGGTTTGGGACACGTTCAAGGAAGATAAGCTGTTGGATGATCCAAGCTCTCCAACTGTATAGCCATGGTCGAGCTAAGGGTAGGCTGAGTGCACCAACAGCAAAACACAGCATTGGCCCCTGGAGAGCGGCTGAGTCATTTGAACGGTTTTAGAAATAATGAGATTACGGTTCCCGAACAGCGCTCCTCAAAGCCCGCTGCGAATGAAGATCGCCTGGGATGCTCATTGAACGTGCGGATTACCGGTTTCCGCCCCTGAAGACAGGGGCTCAGTAGGTTTTCAGTAGTCTGGGGGACATGCATGTGCAAGTCCTCACCCAACTGCCTCTTGAGACGATCTGGCCTCAGGCAGCCCACGGATAGACTGCATCGCGGTTCCCGGAGCCCCTGGGATGCAAATTCAGTGTTGCGTGTTCGTTTTCCTGGAGAGGATCCCTGTCTTTCTTTGGATTCTGATTAAATAGCACTTCTGGCACGTAGAAAGGCGACCGCGCGGCTGCGCTCTGCAGTCGGCAAAATAAGGAGCGGAGAGCTAGTTATGCGAATTGGCAAGACCGCTTTAGCGCACGAATAGAAAGAAGCAAGTTCAGATCTTAAAGTAAATTCAAATATTGGGCCAAGAAAGGAGAGGAAATATCTGATAGACGTCCCAGGGCACAGCAGTCAACGTCTTCAGACCTCGGCTCTGTCTCCTCGTCAACAGAGGCCCCACCGCGGTCCCCACGGCAGGGAGGGCGCGCGCGGCAGCTGCCGCCCGCAGGGCAAGCGTGTCCTCAGACTTGCAGATTGTCTTCAGCCTCCGGAAGGCCGACCAAGACGGCCAGATGCTGGCGTCACATCTCTGTGACGGGGGACGGAGATCTGTGTTTTTCTGGGTTTCGGGTTTCTCTTCCACTCACTGGAGCTCTCAAAGGCCCCACAAATAGATGTCAAAGGAAGGTGGAAAAATTGAAGAGGGAAATATTTTATCGGCACCAACGAGGAAAGAATCTAGTGAGAAAAATAGGAGGAGGGGGAAAGGACAGTGCTTACCTTCGTGAAAGATGAATTTCTCTTCCAAAGAAAGCGTTGTATCTATGTGGCCAGGTGCCGGGAATGGAGCGTCCTGTCGCTGTGGCTGCGAGGGTGCTGCGCGCTAGGAGGACCTGGCCCCTTTTGCAGAGAAGCGTCGGGGTGAAAGGTCGCGGGATGCAGAGCAAAGACACGGGCCCCACCCTGGTGAGTGGGAGTTTTGCGTTAGAGGGACAGCCCGGGCTTGGCTCTCCGTGTCCTCCGTGACCAAGCCCCTCGCCCCGGCCCCTTCCTTCGGGACCTGATCTTGCTCTGTGGCCTCCCCGTGGGCTCGCCGTTCTAGAGCAAGGCTGCCTGCCCGGGGCGCACTTCTGTTCTCTCCGTTCCTCCCCAGAGCGAGGGGCCGCTGTGCTCGCTCCACCCCAGCCCCAGCTCGGGGCAGGAGCCCAGGCCCCTCGCCTGCTCGAGAGTCGGGCTGTGAAAGGGTTTCCGCGCCTCTCGCAGTAGCTACTCCTCGCTCCCGGGCCCAGAGCGCGTCTCTGCTGTGCTTGGCGGACGGAGGGTGCGCGGGCTCCTGGCTGGAGACTTGAAGCCGGAGGGACACAGTCTGGCACCTTCCTTCTCTAGGGCCGGCCCGCCAAGTGCTGGCAAGCTGCTGCTACAATTTGGGGCGTCCCAGGACCCCTAAGAGGAAGGCAACGTTGCCAGCTGAGTCTCCTGAGATCCAACACCTCTGACAGTGGCCTCAGGCGGCTGGAGAGAGGTGGGTGAAGGGACTTCTTAAGGCTTCAGGGAGCCGGGGGGCGGGGACCCGGTATGACGTGGGGCCACAGGCAGGTTTTGGCTGGAACTGCAGCCACCGAGGTCCCACACCAGGCAGCCAGAGGGCGGGGCGGGGCGGGGGTAAATCCTCTGCCTCCCCTCCCGCCCTGAGGAGCGCTGGTCAGGGCTCCCGCTGACAGATTCACTCAGCCGCCAGAGGACAAGGGGCCCGGGGAGGCAGCCTCCAGAGCTCGGCCTCCGGCCACACAGCAGCCCAGAGGAGCGTGGGGAGGAGACCCGCATGTGAGAGGGTGGGGCGTGAGAAATGGGCGAGAACCAGCGCAAACCCACAGCAAGGAAGTAGATGACAGGCTGTGACCTGGTTGTGGCCACAGAACTTGACCCCGAGCGAACCTCCTTCTGTCTGCAGCTGTTGGTAGGAGGGTTGCAGGAAAAGACTCGTGCTGCTGGGTGGTTTTATGAAACTGTCAAAGGATGGTGCTGTGGACTAACTGTATCCCCCAAATCCAAATGCTCAAGCCCCAACCTTCAACGTGACTGTATCTGGGGTGGAGGAAAACGGAATATGTCACCCCAAAATATGCCTCCTTAACATAAGAATTATTTTGAGCTAAAGGAAATTAAGAAGCATCAAATGCAAGAAAAGCTCTCTTTACCTCCCACTTCTGTCTAAAGATGAAATTATAAATGCTTCTCCTTTCCTGGAGATGATCTAGACTTGTTTCACAGCCTCTGGACAAGACCAGAGGAATCTGTACACAAACCTCCCCCCCCCCCCAGTTTCTTCCCCTGTATCTACCCTCCCACAGTCGCCTGCCCTTGTAGACCTGAAACCGCTTTCCTTGTTCTGTCATTTCTCCGCAGTTACCAGACACTCTGGGGTCCCAAGCTGCCTCCTTGAGCTACTCACCTCTGGGGACTCCCGTGTGTAACGTGCCCTTCATACACGTTAATAAACTTCTGTTTGCTTTTCTCTTGTTAATCTTTTCTTACTGGGGCCCCAGCCAAGAATTAGAAGGATGGAAGGAAAAGATTTTTTTCCTCTTCTACAAGAGACAGGGCCTTTTTGGGTAATTAAGATTTGCTACGGTTTAATGTATATGTCCTTCCAAAATTCATATGTTGGAACCGAATGCCCAGTGTGATAGCATGAAGAGGTGGGGCCTTTTGGGAAGTGATTAAGTCCTGAGGGTTCTGCCCTCATGAATGGGATTAGTGCCCTAATAAAGAGGCTCCAGAGAACTGCCTGGACCCTCCCATCTCTTCTCACCTCTCTCCTGCCGTATGAGGACACAGAAATCCCCCTTCCAGAGGATGCAGCAACAAGGCCCCATCTTGGAAGCGCAAACACCACACACAGAATCCGCCAGAACCTTGATCTTGGACTTCCCAGCCTCTATAACTGTGAGAAATAAATTTCTGTTCTTTATACATTCCCTGGTCTAAAGCATTTTGTTATAGCAGCAAGAATGACTAAGATAGGTTAAATGAGTTCACAAGGGTGGGGCCCTGACCCAGTAGGATTAGTGCCTTGATGAGAAGAGGAAGAGACAGACAACCAAGACCTATCTCTGTCTCACAGAGGAAAGGCCCCGTGGGGACACAGTGAGAAGGTGGCCATCTATAAGCCAGGAAAGGAGCCCCACCACACACCAGCCCTGCCAGACCTCCACCCAGGGCTCTGGCCTCCAGAACTGTGACAAAATAAATGTCTGTTGTTTAAGCCACCCAGTCTGCGGTATTTTGTTACGACAGACCAAGCTGACTAAGGCTGATGGAAACTCCCTAGAAGGGCTCAGACATCCATGTAGGAATTAGCTGGAAGTTGTCTACTGGCAAAGCGATGGAGAAAGAAGAGCCTTTGTTGACAAATCCTTTGGCTAATTCTCTTAAAATTCTGAATCTTCTCTCATTCTTTAAAAGGAGACTTAGAAATGATTTGGGGCTCGGCAAAGAAAAAAGGATGCGTTCTTTGACCTTGGTGAAGATTTCCCTAAAACAGGCAAAAATCATCTTCAGGGAGGGAAGGATCCAGGCACCCTGCACTGGGTCTGGGGCATCCCTGGTGGACACAGAAAAGGAGCTCTGGTCAGGTGAGGGCTGGGTGGCCCAAAGGGTCACTGTGACCCCATGAGAGGAGTGACCACCAGGGCCACCAGCTGGTATGAAGATGTCTTGGCCATCAACTCCCAGGTGCGGCTGTGGGGTGGTGTGGCAAGGAGCACGATGGACAGTCCATCCGCAGGGCCTGTCGGATCTCGAGCCGTCTGGAGGTGGCCATGAAGGCATCCTCGACGGACGGCAGCACCGGGTTGCCTGGGGAGGAGTGGCTTGACGGCTAGTTGGTACCTGGGCACTGGAACCGCCTCTCTTGGGCCTTCTTATTTGGGCTCATGTTTGAAACAGTGTCGATTTGAACTATTCACGATGTCTTGATGATACAGCAGATTTCCGCTCATCGACAGTCATTTGGGCCTCTTACTTTTACCCCAGAGTTTGTTACTGTGGAGACAGTAACTGCCCACCTCCTTGAGGTGCCCCTGAGTAACGTACAGTGACCCATACATGTCCCCAGGACCAGACATACCGATATAGCCTCCAAATTCAGTGAAAAAATGACTGCTTGCACGTGATGCAACAACAAAAGGATACCATTAACTTTATTCATATAAATTCCCTGTGATAAAATTCCCATGACAACTCAATTTGGGTTGGATATGCTATTGTTTTAATAGAGTACTTAACTCTTTTGCTAGGAGTCTATTTAGGATGTTTGCTTCTATATTTGTGAATGTGATGAGTGCAGAGTTTCCTTTTTTGCATTGTCTTAGTAAGCAATTGGCATAGGAATTGTGTTAGCTTTGTAAAATTTATTGACCTACGTGAAGAAAAGCTGTAAAACTTCACTGAGGGATAAAAAAGTTAAAAAAAGATAGATTGAGATATCGAATACCGGATGGGAAAAATATTTAAAACGTGTTAATTCTTCCCAAATTAATTTTTTAGATTTCACCATCTCGTTGGAATTACACTTTAGAATTTGGTAAAATAATTATAAAGTTCACATTGAAGGGAAAAATACAGATAGGAGTGATTTTGCTATGCTGGGTTCCCAGGGTATTTTCTAATGGTGCAGTAAGTAGTATACGAATTTTTTTTGTTTAACTTACAGGGGTAAGCTTTCTCTCCAATGCAAACACTATGTGTCAATTCACACTTGAACGTTTGGTGTAACACACACAGAGCCCCTCCCCACCTGGCACATGCTATATTAAGTATAATTTCCATTTTATTTTTTTTCCAAAGGGTAGCTTTTCCTCAGTCGTCAGGGCCCCAACTCCTTGCATGGGCTTTGGTGGAGGTCGCGGGGCAGCCCCCGCGGGTCTAAACCGGGTGGGGTGTCGGCCCGTGCGGGCTTCCTGGGAAGGATTCCTGACTACCTCGCGGCGACTGGCACAGGAACGCAGCTTCACGGACGGCTTGGGAAGCACACAGGCGTCTAAGACAGTCGCTTCAGGAATGTCCCCGACGGCTGTGACCTCCCCTGTGTTCCGAATGACGAAATTCTTTGTAGCTTTGTCTCTAGGCACGCACTGGGCGCAGTTCATGCCGTGAGCGGGTTGCACGTGGCCACGGCCCTTTTTGGCACGACCGTTGTTCCTTCTTTCCTTTGTCATCTTGGAAGTGAGGATGCCAGAGAGGGCGGACTCGACTTTTTTAGCAAATAAGTTTTGTTTGTTTGTTTAGCCCTTGTTACTAACCTCACCGTATGCAAGGCCACTGCGGTGGTGGTCAGGGAACGTGACCTGTGAAATGTCTGCCTTGGGGAATTCGATGAGTTCTCTTTGCAGCCAGAAGACGGCACGTTTATCCATGCTCCTTTGTAAATTCTTGTAGGTAAAGGGTTGGGGTTGTGGTTACACAGGTAGTTTACTAATTAGAAATTTCAAATCTGTCATATTCCTATGTATGTCCTTTCTACTTGTAGGACAGTGGTGTAGGAACAGCTTCCACTGCCTGGTTTCCATCCGATTTTCCTTATGCCTTTGACATCTTCACTGCATGGCTCACGTATTTAAATGTAAAACTCTATGAGGATGAGCCCTTCTATTTATGTCAAATCCTTTACTAATATAAAATTATGTCTTTTGACCTATTTGATTCTTTTCCCTGTATCCTCTTTTGCCCTTTTTTTGAACATTTCAATTCCTGCATCCTTTTCACTTATGTTTGCCGAATATATCTTTCCCTTATTTTTTGTTTTTAAAGTTTCTGAGTCATTTTATTTTTAGATGTGTCTTATAGCAGAATATCTTTAGGCTTAAAAAAGATGAATCTATGTTTGCCCTTTTAACAGGAATTTAATCCATGTGCACTTATCATAATAAAAAAATACATCTGATCTGTTTTTGTCATCTTTATTTTTTACTCTTTTTAAGGTATTTTGATTGGACTTAGATTTAAAATTTTTGGCAAACGTAAACGATGTTTTGTTTAATTTAATAGTCTACAGTAATTTGAAGGTTGGCATCCTCATTTTAATTGTACCCGTCAGGGTCCTTGAAGAGAAGTGGGAAGGATGTTTCTTTAATCGACTGGAACTTCCTGCGACTTCTACTTCAGAGGTTCGGAGACCCGGGAGAGCCAGGATGGGTGGGGGAGAAGACGTTTTGAAAACTTCCAGTTGGATTATGGGTGTGACCAGCGACTCCCCTCCCCCTCCTCTGGTCTCTGCACATGGGCACCTGCCTGCACTCTCCCGGGACAGGTGGCTTGGCTGGCCCCTTGCACTGCCCTCCCAGCACTGTCTAACAGGGGGCAGGACAGGCTTCCGTCCCTCCCGCTGGCCCTGATCCAAACTCCTAAGTCATGCCCGGGGCGGGGGAGTAAGGGGGGCGGTTAGAGGAGTTTTCAGAGCAAGAAAGAGCCCAGGGCTCATGCCCAGCTGCCAGCTCTGATGTGTCAGCACCTGTGCGCTCGCGGCTGTTCACGGAAGCCACTGACCCGCAGACACCTGTGCTGTGCTGGAGACTGCAAATCCGTGACTGGAAAAGCATTGGCACCCTTGGTTTTCCGGGGCGAGGGGATGGCCATTCAGTCTTTCTCTTCCAAAAGGAAGGAGAGGAAGGAGGCGGTGGGGGGGGAGGGGGAAGAAGAGAGGGAGGGAGAAGGAAGGAAGGAAGATGAAGGAGAAAGGAAAACACCAAAGTGCGGGACAAAGGCAGACATGGAACCGGCCCACACGCAGCAGAAGCGGGTGCATATAGCAGGGGAGCACTGCCTCCCAGCTTACGGGATCTGACCCGCCCCCAGGGAAATTCAAGTTTGGGCATCTAAGAGAAAAGGGTGCGAGCACGTCCCGGACCATGTGCCTCACCTCCAGGGCGTTTTCATGGAGACGGCTGGCCTTGATTCCCAGCCTGGCGTTACCATGGCAACCGAGCATCCTCTTCTGGCACTGAGAGGAGGAACGATGGCCACGGAGCTGCGGGATGCTCAGGAGGTTCACAGCACGACCAGGCGCGAGCTTGCGGGATGGGAATGAACTTCTCCGAGCCCGGCTAGCGGAGAGCATTTGTCCGAGTAGCGTTCTCAGGGTGATTTCCCAGAGGGAAGAATTCTCACTGCATCCTTTGTCTGAGGAGACAAATCCTCTATGAGTCTGCTTTCTCCATGTGTCAGAATAGCATGTTTTTCGTTCATATATAGCTAGGTGAAAAAAAGGTTTAAAGTAATTCTTTTGTAAATACAGAGTGGTGCACTGGTGCCTGATAATTGTGGAAAAGAATCAAAAGACTACAAATAAATAAATAGGATGTAAACATAAAACACAGGCGCCACCCCACCACACCCACTTCTGCACACTGCTCTGCAGAGCCCAGCTGTGTGGTTGGAGCTCTGCGATCCCCACTTCTGCCTTGGGGGGTTTGGCCACCGACAGGGCCCCAGGAGCCCGAGGGGAAGCAAAACGCTGGCCACCCACAGAGGCAGGAGCTCAGCCCAGGAACTGGAAGGACAGTGGGGTTGGAAGAAACAATCTTTTCCCCAGGGACTCTGAGCTTCTCTTTGCAACTGCAGATGAAGACCTCATGCCCTGCATCTGCAGCTCACGCCCGCAGCACCGGCCGCTGGGACAGACCCTGGGAAGCTCCTCCTGCCCCTCCCCTTCCGCTCCTCCCTTCGGCGGCTCAGACCATCTTCAGAACAGGGCTTTCAGCTCTCGTTCCTCAGGTCACAGACTTCTCCGTCCATGAGCAAGCCCTCCCCACGTCCCCAGCTCTGCAAATCTGTACAGACGAAATTGAGGACAATGAAACACAGCTGCAGCCCCTGGGGCCTGCGGTGACTCCAGGGAGGAGACCACGGCAGCCTGCAGAGCCTAAGCGGGTTCTCCTGGCTGCTGATAGCTGGCAGGATGGCAGAGGCTGGGCACAGGTGCCTGGGGCCTTGCTCTAAGGGTGGGCGCTCTGAGGAGGCTGCCCCCGGAGGCTGCTGTGGGGAGAACATGGGTTCTACTGAACAGCTGGGGAAAGGCGGGAGGTGCAACCCTCTACGACAAGGAGGGTTTCAGACTACACCGAGTGGTTCTGTGGAATAGATCAGAAAGCAGAGTGTGTTGGAGACGCACTCATAGGACAGGCAGGACAGACAGGGACAGTGCTTCATCTGGAGGGGCTTTGGTTCGAGACCCCTGCCCAGAAGGGCTGTCCTGAGCTGGTTGGAACCCAACTGCAGCATGTCTTGTCAAGTCAGTTTGACACGCGGGAAGTCTCTGTGACCTTCAGATTAGAGTAACTAAGATGTCCACCGATCGATCACTTTATCCCCCAAACAGCGTCAGGCCTCCTGGCATGTGACTGCAGCTGGAATATTTTCAGGGCCATGAGCTAGGTCCACAGATAATTGACAAGAAATGCAAATCAGGTGCCAATTCACAGTGTTCAGAAAATTTCCATTTAAATTGCTAATCAAGCGGAATCCACTTGCAAATGCAGAAATCAACATGTACATAAATTATCTGGAAAACCGCAAAGCTCTGTAGAAGACCTGGCGCCAGCTAGTCCGTGTCATATGACAGAGACATCACAATGTCTCTGGATACGGTAACCCCCCCCCCAACACCATCCAAGCGTGTTATTGTTGAGCTCTCTAGAAAGCCTGGGGGGCCGGCCCTTCCAAAATGTATTTCTCAGAATGAAGATGCTCCATGGGATGGTTATTGGTAAGTGTCTTACACACGCGCTGAAGGAAATCTGAGAGATACAGCATCCCACATCCCCTCTAGGAAAGTCAGAATACGTAACGGTGCATTCCGGATTCCGAGAAGCCCTGCAGGACAAAACCCGACTGGCCCCGGTTGATCTGTTGCCGTGTTTCCGGGAGGCAGTAGAGCGGGGAGGGCGCCTTTCGGGTGACGCGCCTGTTCCCGCCGTGGGCTGTGCACGCTGGGAAGTGCCGCTCTACAGCCAACTGTGAGTTTTGCCATCACCAGTGTCATTGCTTACACTGCCACGGGAGACGACGCCCACACCAGCAAGTAGGGAAACAAATCACAGCTGCTCCTCTTTAAGCCGACACCCCATTGCAAACAAGCAACTGCTTTGCAGGCTTCCCATCTGTTGTCTGTTCACGTTGAAATGAAAACCCCCCGTCGGACTGAGAAACGGATGGTCTGTGTTCAGCCCCTCTAAGAATGGCACTGAGTTGACAGCAAACACCATCCCTGCCCTGCTCCACAACCCTCCGTGGCTCCCCATGGCCCAAGAGGGCACCTCGTGATTCTGCCTGTCCTGCTGCTTCCCCACCCCTCCTGCCCTCGGGAGCTTCAGTCCGACTGCGCTTCTCACTGCCCCTCCACCGTGGGCTCCTCTGCTCCTGCAGAGCAAGCGTCTCTCCTTCCACGTACCCACAGCAGGGTCAGCACACTTTCCCCAGAAAGATCAGACAGCGAATATTTTAGGCTCCGAGGGCCATAGGATCGCTTCCAAAACTCAGCTCAGTCATCGCAATGTGAAAGCGGCCAGCGGTAATACGTCTACAGATGGGCACGGCCGGTCCCACTAAAGCCACTCACAAAAACAGGCTCAGGGGCTGTAGTTTGCTGACCCTGGTCTATACGACTGTCCATTCTTCAAGGATGGTTCCTAGTCTTATTCTGTGACCCTTTCATCCATAACTTTGCCAAACAGCCTTCGTTTTACTTTCTCACTGGTCATAAGGAAGGGGCAGAGATTTTAAAGCGTGCACCTACTGTGGTCTAGTTTTCACATGGGAAATGCTGTTGAATTCTTCCAATAACTGTTTTTTGGGTTTTTTTGAGACAGAGTCTCACTTTGTTGCCCAGGCTAGAGTGAGTGCCGTGGCATCACCCTAGCTCAGAGCAACCTCAAACTTCTGGGCTCAAGCGATCCTCCTGCCTCAGCCTCCCGAGTAGCTGGGACTACAGGCATGCGCCACCATGCCTGGCTAATTTTTTCTATATATTTTTAGTTGGCCAATTAATTTTCTTTTTATTTACAGTAGAGACGGGGTCTCGCTCTTGCTCAGGCTGGTTTTGAACTCCTGACCTCAAGCGATCCTCCTGCCTCGGCCTCCCAGAGTGCTAGGATTACAGGTGTGAACCACGGCGCCGGGCCTGAATTCCCCCAATAGCTATTATTCCTGCCTTAGAGATGAC